GACCACCCCCCGCAGGAGTGTTCCGGGGGTAGCAAGAGGGTGTTCGGGACACTTAACTACTCCTAAATAACGGACCCACCGCCGCGCTTCGGTCGCTATTCGTAGATCCGTCCGACCGAACCAACTACTGCCCGTAATGCGACGAAAGTGCTTCTATTGCGAGCTAATTCGCGACAGGTACATTAACCTGACTGAAGATGCGTATTGAATTTTAATTACAGCGGTCGGTTTGTTACAGCGAAATTATATTCAAGTCCGCTCTTAATCTTGAATTCTCCTTTAAGTTCGCAAATTGCGCGCCACGGCATCTTTTCCAAGCTTATGAACAATATTTGCGAAATATACAAAGTATTCGACGCGCGTATATTTTTTCACGACTGTCTCTATTTGCGTTTCTTGAAAAATTCATGCTTCGAGGCGACACGCCGTGTGTCGCAACTTGCATGCGATGCCGCGATATCATCCATTAACGTATATCCGGACCCGAGCGATTAGAATGTAATGGTGACGTCGATACACAGCGACATGATCAATCTATGTCGTCCCGGAGATTTATGAAAATACTTGCTTTCACTGTCATGTCGTGGCTTGGCTTGGAAGACGCCGAGGTATAAGTTCAGAAAAGTTCACGCGAAAATCCCCCGGGGAGAACACAACGGACTTCGACGTCCACCTACGAGTCTTGCTCCCTTTACTTTCTTTTTTTTCGACCGGAAACTTTGGGTTCAATCTTCTCTGCACCACATGCTGCGCGATATTAACGGAATAGAAGGGGGGAAAAAAGAATGAAAGAATGAGAAGTGACATTCTGAAAATGTTCCGGGACGAGTTACATTAAGATCATGACTTTGATCTCTCGCTTCTCGTTAGCAATTAATGCCTCCCACGGCGAAGTTTTTGTTGGAAGTTTTCATTATTCACGCGGTTCTACAGCAAATGTAATGGTGTGGCATTATTAATAGAATTATGTAACTCTTCTCCGCACTGCCATCTCTGTCTCTCTCTCTCTCTCTCTCTCTCTCTCTCTCGTGCGCGCGCGCGCGCGCTGTAATTACGCCCGCGAAGCTGCCGAGCGGGTGCTGTTAATTATTAACGAAGACATCATTCTGAAACGCGCGAGTGACAACGTCATGGCGATGTAACCGAACATCTGTCGTCGTCGGTGTGGTGGTATAATCAAGCGTGTTAAAAACGCGTCGCGTGAGCGGCAAACGTCACATGTCCGTTACGTTTCACACAGACGCGACATATCCGCCTTCCTTCTCTGCTGGTATTGACTAAACTTTTTCGAGCTCTCCTTCGCACAAGTTGAAACTTTATGGCATTCAATTAGACATCGCTTTAGAGCCGTCCGCATTTTTGCGGGTTTGCGCCTTTTTCAAGCACAGCAAATGGACTTGAAGACTACTTTCGGTATACTTTAATTCTACCGTCACAAAGGATGTCCGAAAGTTTCACAACTCTCGTCGTTATTCCGGCCACTCTTTTCGCATCGAACGTATGCGCGATTGAACGCGGCGATCGCATTAATGGGAAACAATCTCCGTCGATCGGCGCAAACGATCGAGATCTTCTTTGACGCGCGACAGAAAATTGAACGAAAAACTTGTCCAATCAACGTTACGACGCGCATCACCGCGCCGCGCCGATACCGATTTCGCGACACGGTAAACTCGAAACTCGAGTCCTCTTTCTCCCCCTCCGTCGTACGTTCGGAAACGCGGGACTGAATGCAATTTGGATCGATAATGAATTCATTAAATGCGTTTCGGATGCGACACGACCATCGTCCGCCATTAGCGCGCCGCTGGACATTTCGACCAGCGCCTCGGGTCTTTGAGGGTTAATTGCGGACGTGTTGCGGAATTCCATTAATCGAAACGGCTTTCAAGGCTCCTTTGGTATTTAAACTGCACACGCGCTTACACGCGTCGACAGGTCGATGATCCATCGGCAATTGCTTTCGTGTTCGCCAATCTAAAGATCATATACAAATATGTAATCAACGCAAGTAAGCGCAGATTCAGCGCTGTAGGATAATATTTAATCCTCCGAAATTAATAGATACTCGCGGCGTAAAGCACTGTTAATATCGGCGTCGTTACGCAGATCAATAATTCTCGACAGCCCTCGTTATTTTACCGATTTTACCGAAACGCAATTAAATAGTAAAATGCACGAGAGACTGTTGTCGCAAATAACAAGTTCCTTCTTTTAACAGAACGTTGCAGTTCGCCTTTTCTGAAATCTGGTCACGCTGCCGAACGTTTGAATTTATCAACGGCTAAACAACACGTAAAAACAAAATGCTAAACCGACCGCGAGTCGCGCAAGACACGTACATGAAATCGTAACGAATCCACGAAGGTTTCTTGCATTTCCCAGGCGCAATAGCGCGAGCTTGCTGGCGTTGTTGGAGCACCGCGGCAACGACAACAACTCCGTTAACCGAAGGGGAGGTAAACGGCTTGTTGCGCGTCGACGAAGCCCATTTTATACCTTGGAAAAAGCGGGAATTCAAATGAGCACCGTTACGCCGGGGCGTTTATATGATAAAGAGTCGCCCTTAAACAATATTTATACCCGTCGTTGGAGCCGGAGGCATGCAATAAATACTAAGCCTATGCTAATCTTTATACTTGTCCCTTGCTTGCGCTGATAAGGTTTTTTAAAATTCCATCTTAAGCATCCAGGAAACGTGAGTGGCCGGTTAAAGTAAGTGTCACGTCCTTCTACCGATTATTGACAAGAGTTAAAAATGAAAAAACTCTGTCGCTGGAGTTAATAAAATAAAAGCTCTCTCTCTCTAGTTTTTAGTAAATTTGTTTTAAATTTTGCATTTTATATTTTACCGTTTCCGAGTCAAGTAATGTAATTTGATATACATATTATTAAATATTTTTTTTATTAAATATTTTTACATCAAAATTAAAATAATTTTACAATAAGAATAATAATATGCGTACTTAATTTTCTTGCATTTATGGATATCGTATTTTGTGACCCGGTTTATCTAACAACGGAGATATCTCGCAGCCTGTCATTTTGCTTGGCATTTTGACGAGACATTTCGACGATCCATGCGAGCAGTCTGACACTTTTGAAATAATATCCTGTATTGTTAAAAGGATTTATTTTAACATTTTGTGATATTATATCATAAAAAAACAAAAAAGTGAAAATCATTCTTCATTAAAAGCGGACAGAAAAATGTTAAAAACATAGATATTATCGTGAAGTAATTTGTTCATAAATACGAGAAGATCAATTTAATATTACAATATTGATATAAAAAAGTTTGAACGATGGTTTTTTATGTCGTTGTCCTTTTTGAAAGGAGATACTTCATCTTTGTTAAATTTTGACGGTAGGAGCTTGCAACGACTCGGTTCTCGCGTACGACAAATCAGAAGCGACGAGGCGAGACGCGGTCGATTTCTTTCTCGAGTCGGTCAGCAACAAAAAGTAACGCGAGGGTGTCCTGCGCTACAGGCGCACCGGCGGCGTCACGGCACTTGTATCTCCCAGCTTTTCTCTCCGTGCAGGGTAGCGACTTCAGGGTGCGCTCGTCACGCGGGAGGAGAACGAGGGCAGCCGACCGAATCGAATGGAAACTCGTTTCTTGGAAATAGCCTACCTGAAATTTACGGAAGGAATTGGCCTTCCCGTGCGATCTGACCAACGAGCTATCCACTTACTCGAATCGGTCCAGCCGGATTGTGCCTCCGGCGAACGAGACAGAGAGAGAGAGAGAGAGAGAGAGAGAGAGAGAGAGAGAGAGAGAGAGAGAGAGAGAGAGAGAGAGAGTAGAGTGTACGTACGTACGTACGACGTACGACGACGTACGTACGGTACGGTACGGTACGGTACGGTACGGTACGGTAC